AAAAAAAAAAGCGAGACCGCAACCTCCCTAATAGCAAAACTTAATACAAACTACAGTAAACAAAACAGTGTGGTACTTCCATAAAGACAGACAATATAGTTCAATGGAATAGAATACAGAATCCAGAAATAAACCCTCACATGTTTAGTCAATTGATTGCTGACAAAGGTACCAAGTCTATTCAATGGTGAAAGGACAGTCTTTTCGATAAATGATACGGGGCAAACCAGATATCCAAATGCAAAAGAATGAAGTTGGACTCTTACTTTACACCACATGTAAAAATGAACTCAAAATGGATCAAATCTAAACATAAGAACTAAAAGTACAAAACTCTTAGAAGAACACAGCAGGAAAGCTTTATGATACTGGATTTATCAATGATTCCTTAGATATGACATCGAAAGCACAGGCAACAACCAAAAAAAAACATAGATAAACTGAATAAATTAAAAGCTTTGAATATATCTAATCTTGTTTAGGTTGCTACTTCTCTATTACCCCCATCTCCATCCCTGAACCCTGTGGAACTTAAAGACTGTCATCAGCAACACCTTTGATTTATTTTGCAATATTCTCATCATGTTACTTTCTAATGAACACCTCCCTCCCCCATGGAAAGTAGTGGCTTTTTATCATCCAACATCCATACATATTATGGCATGAAGTGAGTCCCTGCCACTTTTAAACCATTATTCCTTCTGCTTCCCTTAAGAACAACACTTGCTATCAGATTATACCATCCTCTGTTCCTGATTGCAACAACTCCCAGTCCTTCCCATCTTGTCCTATGCTCACTGAAGATTTAAGCTCTTGGCTCATGACCTCTAGATAAACAAAAACCAAGAGAATGTGTGGCAAATAGACTTGCCTTTTAAGAAATACCAGTGGAAGTCCTTCAGGCTGAAATAAAAGCACACTAGATAGTAACTGGAATCCATGTGAAAAAATAAAGAGCACTCTAAAAGTACATAAATAAGAATAAAAGAAAATATAAATGTCTTTTTGTTTAAAACTCCCCCTCTCAATCTGATTTAAAACACAACTGCAAAAAGCAGTAGTTAGACAACTATGTTGATGGGCACAGAATGTCTAAGGATGTAATTAAATGACAACGATAGTGCAGAAAACAAGCAATAAGACAAGGACGTCTGCTCTTTTCCTCATATTCAGCAGATTCAACATGAGTTTCCAGCTGGGGCATTAGATATGAAAAAGAAAGGCAACCTGATTGGAAAAGAAGTAAAACTATTTGCAGATGAACTGAGCTTTATGTGGAAAATCTTAAGGAATCTACTAAAAATTTATCAGAGCTCATTCGCGAGGTCAGCAAGATGGTAGGATACAAAATCAATATTTAAAAATTAAAAATGAAGTGGCAAGACAATTCATCCTATAATAGTATCAGTCGACGAAGGGTTGCTCCAAGGTATTCTCTGGCTAGGTGTCTCCATAAAGCCAAGGAAACTGCCAGAGAAGTGGGCTGCGGTGCGCAGGCAGCAGCCACCCCTTCCGCAGCTGGGGACTCGACAGGGGGCAGCAAACGACCAGCTTTGTGGATCATACACCACAACAAGGACAGCGAAGTTTTTCCGAAAAGAGCCAGATACGAATATTTTAGGCTTAGCCGGCCTTCCAGGTCTCTGATCTTGAAGCATGAGAGAAGCCATAGACAGTATATAAAGGAATGGGTGTAATTATATTCCATTAAAACTTTTAAAACAGTCTGGTGTCAGGTTTGGTCCACAGGCTATAGTTTTCCGACCCTGCCCTACCCTTAGAACATAAAACAGCAAAGAAAAGCAGGAGAATCGTCCCCTCGCGTGTGGGAGACGGCTGAGCTGCAGAAAGGTTGGCAGCTGCCAACCACCTAGGTCTTGGCCGGGGAGATGGTCACCCAGAGATTAACTTCATAATCTTACTTTGTTCCACTATTTATTTGTTTTATGTATTTTCTATGTGTTTTATATTTCACAATAAACAAAGTATAAAAAAAGAAATAACGGTTATGCACAGTCAAAGGCACTTAAATTGCACTTCCCACAAAGAATCCTTTCTTCTTACCTCTGCAGAAATGCTGGGAGGGTTTTGGGGACCGGCACCAAATGTCGCATGGGACCCACGCGAGGGAAGTATTTGTTCATCTGACATGCAAACTTAACTGGCCGTCCTGTATAGTTTCATTTGCCAGATCTGGGAACCCCACATGGATCTGGCAAATAAACCCGCTTCCTCACCACCGCCCGCTCCTACACCCCTTCTCTTAACGCCCCCTCCCATTCACTCCCCTCCTCTCCACGCTCACCCTCCCGTAGCCCGGGACCCACCCTGCGGGGGCCGGCTCCGCGGCACCCGGAACCCATC